TTCCCTACAGAATGACTTCTGAGAGTAGGCTGGCCTGCTAATGTCTTTGCATCTTCCTAATATTTTGCTTGTTAATTATTTATTAATTTTTTGGTCTACAAGAAAAGGCAGAAGTAGGAAGGGAAGTGCAGACCATGTCATATGGACTCCAAATATAAAATGGAGGGTAGAGCACTAAGCCTACCAACCTTCAGATAGAAACCTACTGTGCTGGTGGATCAAAAGATACAAGAGTTACTAGATAGGTAAATGTTAAAATATTTAATAGTAGTAATAAGGTATTGCTGCTTGGTGTGACAGAAACTGCCACTAAAATATTGAGCCTTCTCTTTTGGTATTCATGTCTTCAAAAGCTGATGAAAGATTGGGAACAGCTCTGAAAAGAGCTAGAAGAAGTATTAGAGTTTAAAGAAAAATCAAACAACCCAAGATGAAGCAAATTGATTTATCAATGACAAAAGTCAGGCCATTAGCAAGTTGCCTATTAATAAATTTGCAGAAGGAAGACATTTCTGTTAGTAGACCGTCCTTTAATCTAGCAAAAAGAGATAATCAGAAATAGTGGCTGAAGCTGTACAAATTTAAACTAGTAATAAGAATAAAGATTTTAACAAGGGAGGCCAGTAATCATTGGAGCAGTACCACAGGAGATATGGTATTCAGCTCTTTTTTTTCAATTCCAGATTTCTGCAGTGGTTTGTTTTGGTTTTTTTGTTAGAGAGTGCACACTGCTATTGATCCCATGCTGTCCTGGTGACACCCTGCTTGCTTTCCTTCATTACCTTTCCCAGATCTCCAAGTGTCCACAGACCAAATCAAAGGACATCAGTTCTTCACTGCTGAAAGTCACCAAGTGCAAGTGAACCCTTTTCTGAAAAGTTGACCTAAACAGATCAGGTTTTTGGGTGTAGAAGTCACTGGGTAGCGTCCTGTGACATGTGATGCACAGAAATATAAGCACATTATTCTAATGGCCTCCTTGTCCTCAAATGCATTTGCATTTATTGGGGGAAGGAGATTCCCTCTTTACTGACAAAGTACTCACTGTTATCACCATGGCAAAGCTGCTCCTTTTTGCTCCTTTTTTCAGGTCTGTCAGTCCAGAGCTTCTTCATTTGCTTTTGATACTTCCAGGGTATTCTCTCCCCCCCCAGTTTCCCTTTTTTGGTTTCCTTTTTAAAATCGAGCTTCATTCTGGGTCAGTTGTTATTTCTGGGTTTGATCAGGAATTTTCACAGCCAGAAAGTAATTTTAGGATGAGTCCTTACTGCATTTGGAAGAGATCAGTTCCATCATGGCAAAACTACTCTTATTTTATCTATAAGTAGGCTAATCAGACCCTGCAAATGAGTGTTACATTTTCTTTCCAGGGTACATAATAAGGCAGAAATAGAAATTTGGAAATGAAGTGTAAATTAGGTTTGGATGAGCCCTATAAGCAGTTCCTACTGCTGGGCAGGTGGCAGAATTCTGGCTTCCTCTGCTGAAGTTGGTGGGACGTGGCAAGCACCTTGCATTTATAGCTGGGGATGCAACAGGGACCCAGCTTCTGGGGTCTGAATGTTGTTTTCATTCCACCTCTCCCCTTCTGAGGGTCCAGATGCCAAACAGACTAACAACAGGTACTTGGCCAATATGTACAAACACTAGAATGGACTCCCCTCCCTTATTTATCTTGTTTTGGTTAGAAATTACTGCCCTAATTGGATTTCCTCTCTTACTGATAAGTGAACGTGTACTCTTTGTACCTCTGTTCATGCTTTACACTGAAAGGCAGGTACATTTTAATTGCCAAGATAAACTACTGTCAAGTTCTGTGGCTCAGCAAGAACATTGGGTACCTTTGCTGCTGGGGCAGCGCAAGGAATAGATGTTTAGAAGTAGATAAGCAAAGAAATCTTTCCTGCCACTGGTGAAATGAATATGGTTCCTGTTGTCAAAAGAACGAGTTAAAAGCTAATGGAGTATGTGGTGCCATCACCACTTTAAAAAAATGGATCAGTTTCTTCATAGATTAGAAGCAAAGAAAAAAACAACAACACCCAGTTCTCCTTCTCCAGCTTTTACCTTGCTATATTTCTTGAAATGAATTTATGAAAGTGAAACTGTGTGGTCTCCTATCAACCCTTCTGGACAGCACGTCTCACACGAATGCCTCATTATAAAAAGATGAAATTAGAGAGTGTCATTGCTTACTTTAATTTGTCTCTAGCGTTCCAATCTCTATATTATACAGAAATTAATCTGATAAATGACTAGTAATCAATTTTCCTGTAAGTGTGGAAGAACATCTGAAATTCCATATGCAGTTAACACTCCAAATATTCGGAGATGCATAATGATCTCATTTATTATACTAATTTTCTGGTATGTACAGGAAGGCCCATGGGTCTTGTACAGGTTTAGTCTTGCAAGCAGTTTCAAAATGCCATTCATCTTTACACAGCAGTTCTAAGCTGATGTTTCTTACTCTGTCAGTGCTTCCCCCAGGAACATTTTAAAAATATATAGCAAAAAAATAATACAAACCCTAGATAAGAGTATTCTGCTACTCAGGAGAAGTTGTAGCAGCTTTTCTCTTTGACTCTACTAGTTAAATTTTCACTGGGAGATAATGAAACCTCAGTGATAGGCTATTAAAACCGGATGTGCTTAGCTAAAAAAGAAGTATTTTATAAGTTTGTTTTGCTTGCCTGTAGGTGGAAAGCCCAATTGAGATCACACTTCTCAAAATACCAGTTGATTGCTCTACGGTACCTGTTTGTCTGTCTTCTGATTGGGTAGAGCTGTTGCTGGGCTGATACTGTTGTGACCAAAATTAGAAAGTCAATATAAACGAGTCCAACTAGACTGCCTGCTTTTTTTCAGTTCTCTCTTCTGATTCACCAGGTTTTTTTGTTTCAAATTCTTACAGCCTTTGTGAACTGGGGGTTGTGCCAGCAAAGGTGAAAGCTCTTAGTGGTTAGTCAGGAAGAACGTTCATAAAAATGTATCTTGCTGACATTTAGTTGCTGGCAAAAACATGATGCCTAATTAAAAGAAAAGAAAAAAAGTGGAAGTGGATCCTATGGAGGGATTGTATTCAATACATGGATGTGAGAACCTCTTCCTCCTTTAGGAACCTGCCTGCTTCTTACCCTGGGGAGCAGCATTAATCTTTTTGACCCTACAAGGATGTTATTGCCAATGTCTCGTGGCAGAGGCTTCAAGCATGAAGGATCCACTGCTTACACCTCTTTTTTCCTTCAGTATTAGTATGTACACTTTAACTAGTTGGGCTGTACCTGGTTAATTACATTATTAATGCCATAGAGAATTAGAATATCTGTGAATGTAACTATTACAGTTGAAGACAAGCACCATGTGAATTGTTTAGCAGAATGTTTGGTGAGTGCATGCACAGCATGCAATTCATTCAATTCAGTTCAGCAGCCAAGGGGAGCTGGCTGTGCTACCGTGGAGAATTAGAATATCTGTGAATATAACTATTACAGTTGAAGACAAACACCATGTGAACTGTTTAGCAGAATGTTGGTGAGTGCATGCACAGCAGTTCAGCAGCCAAGGGGAGCTGGCTGTGCTGTACTTGATACTATCCAGTTACTTTACCTGGATTGTTAAGATAAAGCTGTGGACTTTGGGAAAAATTAGTAGGATTTGATGCAAGTGACAGAGGGAAAAGTTTAAATGAATTTATGCTTGGTTAGTTCAGACTTTCAGAATTGTTGTTTGTCTTCTTCTTTATGTTTGGGTAAGAAAAAGATGAGGGTGGTGTTGCATGCCAAAAAATGACCTTTTATCTCACTGTGTCCAGAATGAAGCAACAAGAGATTGAAATTCTGAATCCCACTGAAGGGCAGGGATAGGAAGTGTTTTAAGAGAGCAACTTGGTTCAGTCATGAGGTCTCAAGGTACCTTATAAAAACAGAAAGTAGGTCTCCTTTAGCAATGATAAGAATAAAAGGGTAATCAGAAAACATGCTATTAAAATCAGAAAAAAACAAGGCACAAAATGAGATGCAACTAGAAAGGGACATGAAAAAAAAAAGCCAAGAAAGCTTTCTATGGTATGTTAATAGTGAGAAGACAATCAGGAAATAATTGTGGTGGTCTTTGGCCATCACAACTGACATTTGTTTATTTGAAAGATTAGTAAGCTCTGGCCCATTTGATAATTCTATCTATAAAGTGCTGTTTTAACTTTTTTTTCCAGATTACTGTGGGCTTGGTAAAAATAGATGACATATACTCTGTCCCATTAGTAATTACTCCAATGCTATACTAGTCCTGTCAGATATTTTTGATTTCTTCTGTAAACTGGGTAATGAAAAATAGTAGCACAAAGAAGTATTTCTTGGTTCTGTATTTGGCATTCCTTCAGTTGTTCAGGACTTGCTGTTAACTGAATTGTGAAGCAAATGAAGAATTACCTTCTTTTTAAGCAGCTGGTAGCTTCTGCTGGTTTCTGTGTAACATGGTTTATTCATTTTATTGCAGGGCTTGGTTATCCGGATCCTCTTCATTCTTGGGAATTTAACAGAAAAGAATAACCAGGCCCGTGAGCAGTTGTTTAAAGAAAAAGGAAGTGTTGACACCTTGATATCATTATTCCAAACCTACCATAAACTCGACTTGAATGCACAGAAATGGTACCATGAAAGAGAAGGGGAGGAAAAAAACAGGCATCCTTCAGAGGCAGAAGATGTTCTGATAAAGTTGATAAGGGTGCTGGCCAACCTCTCCGTGCATCCCCGTGTGGGAGCAGCTCTGGCAGCTGCCCATCCTGTGGTAGAATTACTTGTTGCTGTACTAGGTAATAACATCTACCTTGTGTGTGTTACCTTTGCCTTTGTCTGTAAGGAGAATTTAGAAGTTTCCTACTTGACCTTCTTGTCTAGGTTGAGCCATAACTACATTGGTTCCTTTGCTAAAATAACAAAGTCATTCTGATGATACTCATGAACTGTTTTAGGTAGAAAGCCCATGGAAGACAGTGGGAGGGGTTGCTGCTTTGGGACTGCCTTGTCAGTGTCTGGGGAAAGGCATTGTACAAGTGTTTGACTCAGTGGTAAGATTTGCAGATCTGGTCATTAAGGATGAGGAGATGAATTTTCTGTTCTCACAGAGTGTTTATAAATAAGGGAAATCTGTGCTAATCAGGTGCTACATACATGTGTTTGGTGGTGGTTTGGTTTTTTTAAGGTTTGCTGGTTTTGTGGCAGTTCTGGATTAAGAATTCTTTTTGTTCCCTGCACCTAGAACTTCCAGGCTCCTCAAAATATTTCCTGTTCTTTTTTCTTCTTTCTCGGATTTCCACCCTTTATCCCTTCCAGGTGAAAGGGAGTGTCCCTTTCCCTCCAAACAGAGGCTTCAGTTCCTTTACCACTTGCTGATCCCTCTGTAAATCTCATAAACTAGGACTGGGCAGTCTGTTCTCCCAGGAACAGGGTTTGGCAGTGACAAGATACATCTTAAAGAACTCAGTGTAGTTTAGTGTGTAATGAAAACATAATCAGCCTGATTCTGTGCTCGTTTACCAGTTTTACCCACCAGCCACTGGGGAGTTAGAGAACACAGACTTACAACTTCATCCATCCTGTCTTAAACCCTGTAAGAGTTTCTTGGGTTGGAACTGTCTTAAATATTGTTTAAGTGCTTCTGAGCTTCCAAGCTTCTGTCTGCCACCCTCCCTTCTTCCTGAGCACTGTATCAGTTAGGTTATAGAATCATAGAATGGTGAAGGTTGGATGGGTCTTAAAGATCATCAGGTTCCAACTCCCTCTATGAGAAGGGACATCTCCCACCAGACCAGGCTGCACGAGTCCCATCCAACCTGCCCTTGAACACCTCCAGGAATGGGGCAGCCACATCCTCCTTGGGCAACTTGTCCCAGTGCCTTCCTGCCCTCATGGGGAGTTCCAGTTTAAAACTATTACCCCTTGTCCTGTCACTGCCCTCTCTGGTGAAAAGTTTCTTCCCAGCTTTCCTGTAGGCTACAGAAATTTTACTACAAAACGTTCTCTCATCCTATGAATTTACCCCTCTTATTTCCATCAGTCTTGGTTTCTGATGCCAGAAACCTCAGATAAATCAGTGCACACAACTTTCTGACTTGCTGGCATAATTTTACAGTGGTTAATGTTCTGTCAGGAACTCTTAAGATAATTTTTCAAATACTGTTGAAGAAGTCTTTCAATTTGTCATGGTACCTGAAATTGCAATATAATTGCCCTTGGTATTTCTCTGTGTCTGTCACACAGGCCTGCTTCTGCACATGGATTCTCCTTAGTTCCATCTCAATGGAAATAGGAACTGTGAAATGTATTAACTAACTAGATTTTAAGCTTTAGTCACAATGACTTCTGTAGATGAAGAGTTGGAAAGAGTGACTTTGTGTTGACATTTCTGGATCAGCTGTTCCTGTTGGCTTCTGCCATTTTACTGAAAACCAGAAGAGCTGTCTGTGATAATGGCCATGTAAACTACATTTCAGTTTGGTTCTGAGCTATAATGCACTGCTGAGTTAGACTCCTATGTGTGTGTGTGTGTGTCTCTACATGTGGAAATGTTCCTTTTTTTACTTGTCAGAATACAAGTCAGTTGATGACTGTGAGGAGCTGGTCATCAGTGCCACAACAGCCATCAGCAACTTATCCTATTACAAAGGGAAGAGTTCTGCTGTTCAAGACAAGAAGCTACACATTGCTAAATGTAAGGACTTTTAAACTAGTACTTTTTGTGGAGCTTTTTGAAAGTGGAAGTTACTCATGCTAGGTTTTGACACTACAGAAAGAAATTAGCAATTTCAAATGTGTCTTTAAGACAAGTTCAAGGCACATTCAGTATTGCAGCATTCAAGGATGGAAGCAATCAATGGGAATGAAACCAACCTCTTTTTCATGTATCTTTTTCTCTCTCATTTTTCTGTGGTAGAAGGCTTAAGGGCTCACTGACTAGAGTCCTTACATGATGGGCTGGTTTCAGTGGTTCACTGCACGCTCACAGAAGAGTGAGCAGTGTAATTTCTATAGCATGTCTCCTTTGCTGTGCACTGAAAACCTACATGATGGTAGCTCTTCCTTGGAGGTGCTGAAGGTCACCTTTGATCTGCTGAAGTTCCACACTGATGATGTGTGAAACTGTTAAGGCAGGAAAGCAGCAAACAAGTAAATGCTTCAGACCAGGGGCAGTGTTAAGTAGCTGTTCAAAGAAAATGTGTTTGCTTGTTATAGCAGCACTGAAAGAAAACAGAGCTAATGTCAGAAAATAATTTGAGTTTTAGGAGACATCCCACCATAAGACCATCTGTTCAGGATCTAAATCAATTCTCTTAGATGTTATAACATTTTTTTCTTCTTTGTCTTCCTGGATTTTCACATGAGCCCACTCAAAACTATGTAGCAAAACTGGCTCCCATGATTACAACTGTGCTTAGGCTATCTTCATAACTCCTCGTCTGTTCCTTTGCATTTAGCCCCATATTGGAGCTCTTGGTCTCATCTTCAAAGCCCTACACAATTTAGCTCTTGTCCTACCATCTGTTCAGCCCCTTCACTGCAACAAGACAGTTAGATAACTGTTCCCGTGTATTACATTTATTGCTGTTGCTTCTTGCATTCTGGTGTTTGTTGATTAAAAGCCAAGCACGTTTGTGATACACAAGTAATTGTTTTTATTTCTTTTCTCTGCAAACCAATAGTACTTTTCAAGCTGTTAATGAGCAACAATATGGATGGAGTTGTGGAGGCTGTCAGAGTCTTTGGCAATCTTTCCCAGGATCATGAGATCTGTGACTTCATCATGCAGAAAAAGAGTGAGTTACTCTTGCATTTGTAGGAGTCCTGGTTTTAAATGTCCACAGTTCTGAAGTGGAAAACCTGTTAATAAGCTGTCTCAGTTAAAGGGTAGAAGCAGTTTTCTCTGGTGTTTTGCAAATGAGGCAAATGTCAGAATCTAACAGGAGTTATTGTAAACACTATTTTTGTTCAATTTCATTAAAATAGAAACATAGCAGTAGGAAAAAATACTGTGGTATCTCTTCACCAACGTAAATTCTACCAAAACTCTGCTTTTCCAAAAGTTTATAATTTTGAAACTTCATTCCCTCCATCAGTTTCTCAAGTCCTACAAGTTGGTTATATGATATATAACGAAAATCCAACTTAATTATCATTTAGGTTCATAATCACAAGTTCTTGTTTCCCATATTTCAACAGCTTGTTAGCTCTTTGTACCATGCATTTAAGATGTTTGCCTCAACAAAGAGACCTCCTGTTTGCCTCTGGGTGAAGCAGGGTACAAGTCTTCTCAAGTCTTATTGCTTTGGGTGTCTAAAGAGCCTTGGGAAAAAGGGGAGCTCCTTGCTATCCACAGCAGGTGTGTCACAGGTTTAATTCAACACCAGTTCACCATAAATTCTTTTGCATCCACCTGTTAGTGCTCCAAGTGAGGTGATGTGCCACAGTGCACAGTCCCTTGCTTCAAAAGAGAATCACATTACCTTGGGTGGAAAAGGCCTTCAAGGTCACTAAGTCCAACCCTCAACCCATCACCTCTTGTCCCATCACTAGTAACTTCATTGAACAGCCTGATCCCCACCTCTTTACAACCTCCTTTCATGCAGCTGTAGAGGGTGATGAGGTCTCCCCTCAGCCTCCAGGCTGTGACTTTTCACATTGCTTTGGTCTATTTTTATAACTAGAATTTTTTAATGTGTTGCTTTGAAGAAAGCTGGTGATCAGTGTGATGTAGGAATGGCTGTTACTCTGTTACACCCATGCTACAAATGTCACAGGAAATGCTACAAGGTTAGTTTTTTGGGTAGGGGATCCTGCCTTTGACTGCTTGCTAAGTGAGAAGTCTGTTGTAATGCCACTTGTATGGTGGGAACACCTTCCCAGTAATATTGTTTCCTTTAAAATCCAGTATACAGGTTTGTGATTGCTCTGCTTGATGCCAAGAATCACGATGTCTGTTTTTCTGCCTGTGGAGTTCTGCTCAATCTCACAGTTGATCAGAACAAACGAGCTCTTCTGATGAAAGAAGGAGGAGTTAGAAAGTAAGTTCCTGATTATGCTTTGAAGAAGGCACATTCCAGGCTGAAAACAAAGGGTTCCAATCAGATTCTTCTTTACTGGAGACAATAACTTTCAGTAGGGATACCTATTTAATAGATATTAAGCATTTAATGTTCTTCAAGAAAAAGCCTTTCATATTCTTTCAAGTGTTTTTTAGCAAAAACACTTGGAGTGGTTTAGCCTCCAGCAGAGCCAAGAACCATGGAATGATTTCCAAAAGATCCTCCTGACACCCAGAGCAGAGCAGAGTGCTGTAAGACAAAGCAACATGGCTTTGCAGTAGCTGCCTCTGCCTGACTGACCTGGATCCATCATTAATGTGGATCTGCTGGAATTGCAAGGATTGCTTAAAAAACTATGATACCCCACATGGTCTCTTGCAGTTTTGGTAACAATTTAGTGCTGCAGGAAGAACCCTGTGATGTAGCTGTGCTCAGCAGGGAGTAAAGAGCTACTGGGGCTCCTCTCTGCAAAGGTTCAGGTGTAAGGCACTTACACTGTTAGTGGTGGTAGATCTTGAAAAACCACCATGGATGCAACACCTGTGGCTTTGATGTTCAGGTAATAATGGATCCAGCTTAATTGGAGCAACATGAAGGATCATGTTCCTGTGCTTGCAAAGCACTTGATACAACCCACATTTATGAAACAGTGTGCCTGGCTTTGGAATGCCTTCCTGTTTGTACATCATATCATTACTTTTTTATACACTGTAAAAAAAAAAGCATAGTGTGTTCATCCTTCCTTCCCACGTTCTACTTAACTTACAAACAAAAAAAAAGCTGGAAAAACATAAAAATAAGTGACAAGCCAATGGAAATTTCTATTATGTAGAATATTCTATAGAAGACAGAATCAAGCAGAATGTAGAATTTTCAATGCTCCATCTGAAAACTTGTGAAGAAGGAAGGAAAAAGAGGCACAGTATGGAATAAATCTAGAGAATTTGAAAGTGATTGTTAAGGAGGCCATCCTGGCTGTGCCAAACCAGCTCTCTGGATTTTTGGAAATGAGGTTATTGTAACATGGAGTTAGTCTCATCAGAGAGTTGAACTTCAACAAATTAGGGCAAGTTCTTTTGGCCTTTCATTAGATGCCTCCCAGTCTTCCAATGTGACTGCCTTCAGAGAGCAGAGAACAAGCAAACCTCTTCTTGGTTGCTTTTCAGTCACTGCTGTTTTCAGTCATAATGTGTTATCCCTTGCTCCAGCTTATAAATCTCACAGTGAAGCAGAGGAGTGAATTAACTGAGTCATGGAAGTAGAGGATTGCTTTGGATGTATCTTTTCATCAGATGCTCTAATGTTTAATTACCTGGACATCCTGACTGAAGCTATTTCTGCATCCACACCATTTTTTTCCAGATGAATTTGTGGTGCCTGATTCGGTTTGGTTCACATCACAATCTCTGATCTAGGGACAGCCACAGGTTTGGGACAGTCACAGACTATCATGACATTTGTTGGAAATTTAGTGAATGGAATTTTAGTGGTTTTGAAATAGTTACTTTCCTGACATATGTGATTCAAGTTGGTCAGTTGTGTTAAAAAGCTACAGGGGATGGCCAGGCAGGCACAGGCACATCCGTGTAGACAAAGGGCATGTTCACATCCTTAGGGAACTCAACTAAATGAGGAGGGGGAAGTTACTGAAGAAGAAAGTAGCATCTGAAGTTTATTCAAGTAGAATTTTCCACAGAGTCTGCAGACATTTCTAGACTGCCTGGATTTTGAAAGGCTCAGGAGAAACCTACTGGAATAGAGGCACCCACAAACAGGCAGGAGCTTACTAAAAATGAGTATTTATTCCAATCAAGGCTATTTAGCACTCCAGTAAATAAAAAATAGTTATCACAGATTGGGATGTTGGTCAGGAATGTTAATACACTGCAGCACAACTACCTAATAATTCCTAAGCTTTTCTGACTAGTCTAAACATGGATCATAATAATAATAGTAATAATAATAATGTTACATGTGGACATTGCTTCAGAGAAAGGGTAGGTCTCCCCCTCAGGTACCTGGAATCACTTGCCCTGAGTGGCAAGGCTCACTCAAAGATACACCCAGAATTATCACTCACCAAAGATGAAGTTGCTCCATCTCAAAGTCTCCTCAGGTGGCATCTCACCTTAAGGGGCAGGCTTCCTCACAGACCTGCTGCTCCAAGGGAAAACCCTGGGAAAACCCAGCTGGTGCTTCCTGGCTGGGACTCTGTTTTTATGGACTAAATCAGCTCTGACCTGTGGTCATTGGTTCATTTGTCACCCTGGGCCAAGACACCCACTGGCTGGGGACCTTCTTCTTTGTCAGAGATCCCACCCTGGCATCCCCCAGATTGCCCACCAAAACCACCCTGTCTGCTGAAAGTTCTGCAGCCCAGCAAGGGGGTAAGACCAGAAATCATTCTCTGCACCCCCCAGTCTAACCCAACAAAGCTGGAGCCCAGCAGAGGCTTTTTCTGTCATCTCCAGAGAGCTTAACAGATAATATAACATCCCCCAGCACCAGGGGGAGGGGGGTACATGAGAGCTCTGCCACAGCTACGTGGGCTAAAGCACTTTTTGTTTTTGATACTGACAGGTTAGTTGACTGTTTAGGAGACTTTGGGCCAGCAGACTGGCAGCTGGCTTGTTTGATCTGCAAAACCCTGTGGAACTACTGTGAAGACTGCACAAGTGCTGCCTCATGCTTTGGAGAAGATACCAACACGTTGCTGGTGCTACTTACATCACTGCTAGGTGAGAGTCATCATCTTTGTCTCTTATTCCTTAATAATCAGGGAATCATAGAATGGTTTGGGTTGGAAGGGACCTTAAAGATCATCAGGATCCAACCCCCCTGCTATGAGCCACCACTCTAGTTAGTCTAGTTAGCATGTTGCTAATGCTTGTCACCAGCTGCCTTTTGTCTGGTTGAGCCAGTATCTTGCAGACTTCCAGCACAAACCACACTTTTCCCTGGGTGTGGGCCCTTCTGGCCTCAGAGGTCATTGCAGATGTAGACAGAATCACACAGAATCACCAAGGCTGGAAAAGACCTTTAGGATCATCCAGCCCAGCATGTGACCGACACCCCCACATCTCCAGACCACAGCACTAAGTGCCACATCCAGCCTTTCCTTGAGCACCTCCAGGGATGGTGCCTCCACCACTTCCCTGGGCAGCCCATCCCAAGGTCTGATCACCCTTTCCATGAGGAAGTGCTTCCTGATATCCAACCTAAACTTCCCCTGGAGCAGCTTCAGGCCAGGCCCTCTTGTTTTGTCACTGGTTGCCTGGAAAAAGAGCCCAACCCCACCTGGCTACACCCTCTCTTCAGGTAGCTGAAGAGAGTGAGAAGTTCTCCCCTGAATCTCCTCTTCTCCAGGCTAAACAACCCCAGTTCCCTCAGCCAATTCCTGTAAGGCTTTCCCTGTGGTTTTAATCACACTTTGCCATATATCTATGTTATACATTTAAATCTCTTTCCTTGTTCATAGAGAAGCTTGTGATGAACATCATGGGAGGCAAAACTAGGGTTTGGCATGGGAGAAGCATTGTCAGGGTGTACCAGACCACCTGCTTCCTTACCTCTACTGAGTGCTCCAGGTGCCTGGTTTGCAAATTACTTCTGGCATGTAGCAATGAATATACAGCTTTGCTTTGGAAAGGTGTTACTTTTTTTTTTTTCCCCCTCTGCATTAAACACTGCTTATTCCAGCTATTAATTGGAGTGCAGACTCCAGGCTGGGCAGTAATTGGAATTCTCAATTAACCAGTACAGCTTTGGTGAACTCAAGTTCATGTACAATTGCAGTTACAATTGTAATGCAACTGTAATGGCAATTAATTACAAATATGTCAGGATTAAATTATAAGGCTAGTCTTTCTTCCCACTGTAGTCAGAAGAGCAGCTGCAGAAAAAGCACATCCTAGCCATTGGATCTAGTTTCTCTCTCTGATGAAAGCCAACAAACTGTATTAATTAGCAGCTGGTTAATATTGTCCTACACCTTCCTCCTCCCATTATATCCAGTGACAGCCTTGAACTCTTAGTGCTCTGATTCCATCATTCAGGAAGCAGGAGGCAACTGCTGACAGCCAGTGCACTGTGGAGAAGTGGAGTGTGGCACTGACACCTCACTGCACCTACTGTGCTTGTCCTCCTCTCCTCTCCTCTCCTCTCCTCCCCGCTCCACTCTCACCCTCTTCCCACCC